GTGTATTTTATTAAGTCAACCAGAGTAATATAGGATCACAGCTCCAGGATGGTGTGTTTATGAAAGAAAGGATTTGGGGGGGGGGGGGGGGGGGGGGGGGGAAATAGAAAGATAATAAGAGGGGGGTAGGAGATAATGTCAGAAGCCTTGTATGAAGAAAAATCTCCCAGATTGGGGGATTTGATACTGTTGTTTCAATATTGAAATACCAACAACAATCATGCAGGAGAAACATTTTGCAGGAGCTAAATTTCAACTATAATACATTAGCAGAGATCTGTTGAATAAGAAGCTTCTTGTGGATTAAAAGGGTCTTGCAAAGGATCCCCCTATAGTTACCCTAAACTTTTATTTGGGTTCAGGTTCCTGGGGCTTAGAAGAAATTAATTGAACAGTTAATGCTGGTTTGAGAATTCTGGGAATTAAAATCCATAAATTTGCCAAGGTTGAGAAATCCTGGTCTATTCAGTGAATAAAGATGTTATAAGACCAATGTACAGTGAGGCTTCAGATATAGGAAGTCCCTTGCCTTTTGTCTTCATGTGAGCAAACATGAAGAGATAATCTTGCATTATAATTTCCACATCAAGAACTAAGGCTACACATTTGAGAATGGTTTAAAATGGTAGAACACTATGGCTTGTTCAAAAGTTATTAATCATAGTTTCCCAGATTATATTCCAGAAGTTGTCTTGGTAAATTTGATACTTCACAAAAGAAAGAATAAAGCAATGGGCTGCACAGTTCAGAAGTTTATTTATATGGAAACTATATTTATCTGCTGTTGTAAGTCTGTTCTATGTTGCTTTTATGTGCTTGTGTGACATAAGTTTTTTTTCCCACAGATTATAGAAAGTAGGGATACCATTAAAAAAATGACATAGTTCACAAATTTTTCATGGGACATTAGACCCATGTAAGTTTTTTTTCCCACAATTTCACAATTTTTAATTATTTATTGATCCAGTCTGAATTAAATTTCCCTGAAGATATGATAGGAGCAGACTGGTTGAGACAATCTAAGCAAGATGGGCTTTTGAAAACAAGCCTACCACAATAATTGGGGTTAACAGCTTCCCACTTATATTAAATTAGCTAACATTTCAATGTAATATATGTAACAATGTGATTTTAATTCTAATGATGCTTTTTGCATCAGTGTTTGTTTTCACATATGCATTTATAATCATGCAAACAATGCAAGAAAACTTCCAAACTATGGGGAAATGCTGTAAGGTTTGATCTTTATCTAAAGGCCAGGTGGCCTCTATGGATGCCTAGATATAAATGAATCATATGACTTTATCATGCATGCAGTTCACTTTTCTACAAGACCATGAAATACAGTTTATAAAACCAAGCTTGCAGATTAGAAGATTACTGAAAAGTAAAATGAAATTCTACAAGTCTTTTATTCTACAGATTTGCAAACAGAGCAAGCACAGAGGAGCCATCAGTAAAATCAAAGTCATTCCATGTCTGCAAATTATGCTGTGTGAATTGGACTTCATACAGCTGAGTATATCAGATATAAAGGAACAATTGTCCCTAAACGTAGGACAGCTGTCTCCCTATCAGAAATGCTTAGTTCAATATTGTAAAACAGCCCTTCTTCTTTGATGCTGGAACTTACCTTGCTTTTATTATGAGCGCTGATATTGTTTCCAGAAAACAATAAAGAGACACATATGTGTGCTTATAACAGTTTTTGCTCCTGTGTGTGCTTTGCTTGGTAGGAGATCAATAGAAAAAAAAATCTGGAGTCTAAGGATGTCATATGAATCCCCTTTGCATTAAAATGAACCCTAGCAAGTTTCCAGGAGCGTAATAATTCTTCCTTATTTGGTTTCAGTCCCTGAGAAGCTTTTCTATCCTAAGCAGCAGTCATGCAGTCAAGGGAGACTTCCTTAAGCTCTATTTAAAAGAGCAGGAGCAAGCAAGCAAAGTGGAAAACAAGAGTATAACCTGCTTGAAGATGAATGAAGAAGAACATAGTTGCTCAAGGAGCTTGGAGTTTAATCATCTTGAGAAATAGCACCATCTGTAAATTATACAGCTGAATTGCAAATCAGAATTGATATAAAATATTAGCATTACTTGTGCAGCCTTTAAGTATTAATGCAGAGTGGGCCAAGGATTATAGAATAAGACTATTACATAGAGGCAAATGAGCACTGATATTTCACTTCATACATGCAAAGTATTTCTTCAATCAGAATCATGCAGTTCCAAATTGCTTATTAAACAACAGGAAACAGGTACAGACTATTTGGAGATGGTACAATGTTTATAGAAGATACAGGATAAATGAAAAAAAAGTTTTGTCTTTCTCTTCCCTCTTTATTTCCAATCCAAGTCAGAGACCTCTTAGTTTCTATTAAGACTTAAACAAGCATACAAAGTGTATACATATAAGATCCTGTATCAGAAGGATCTTGACCATGTGGTGTCTAAAAGTCATTTGAAACAACATGTAGAGGTAGCTATGCTCATCTTTTGCAGCCCTCCCAAAACATTAAAACACCACCCATCTTGAGTGTACATATACTTCTGAAACTTTGAATTGGTGGGTTATGGAAAACAAAAAGTTGACCTGTGAGGCACTCTCTAAGTTAAAGATCCTAGACTGTATTGACCAGTTTAATCATGTCTGTGATACAATTAGAAATAGGATTGCTACATGTGACATAGTGGTGGGATTAAAAAAAATTTACTACCTGTCTGTGGCCGTGGCTTGGTGGGCGTGGCATGGTTTGGTGGGCGTGGCAGGGGAAGGATACTGTAAAATCTCCATTCCCTCCCCACTCCTGGGGGAAGGTTATTGCAAAATCCCATTCCCTCTCCACCCCACTAACCTGCTTTCCAGCTCCATTCTCCTGTGCAAGGCAACAAAGAAGACCCAGCTGATCAGCTGGGACTCAAGAGGGAGAGAATAGATGGGGGCAGCGCCAGTCAGAGGTGGTATTTGCCGGTTCTCCGAACTACTCAAAATTTCCACTACCAGTTCTCCAGAACTGGTCAGAACATGTTGAATACCACCTCTGATGTGACATATATACAACTAAGGCTAGTAACCTTCTCTACATAGTACTATTAAAAAATTTTAAGTGAAAACCTTGACTCACGAAAGCATCAATAACCATATAGAAGTCAGTATCTATAAACATCCATGCTGAGAATATGGTGATCAGATTTTGGCCCTTTAGCAAGTAACTAAGAAATCTATGAATACAGCGGAAATTATTCTATACTTGTTGATATAGAGAAAACAGGATAAAATGAATAGGTCTGAATTAGGGCATGTTTTGCATAATTATAGAGAGGTAATTTGTTGAATAATATAAATCATCAGTGCTTAATGAATGGTTCAGGACTGGGCAGGGAATAAGACAAGGATGTTTCATATCCCCTTATTTGTTTAATATATTTATGGATAAATATTGTTGTTGTGGTAAAGATGTCTTGATTAGGAGAGTAAGTGCATTATACACAGGCAGTGATATGTTGCTGGATAAAAATCCAAATGCTTTGCTATGAATATTGGAAATACTGCTTGATGAATTTAAAAGTATTAATCTGAAAATTAACATATCAAAGACAGGATGGTTCAGTGGGTAGATTGGTATCAGAGAACAATTTGTTTTTAGGTTGATCAAATAGTGCTTCAACTTCATTTGATTTTCAGCAAAGTTGGAGACCAAGAGAAGACTAGGCAGGAAATGGCCCATATCATTAACCAAGCAGATATAAGGACAGATATACATACACTTATGAGCAAGAGTAAAGGGGACTCTTTCTCACCACTGTTTGGTTCTGACTTTTTCTCATCCTTTGTCTGCATCACAGTTTAATAAATAAAAATGGATAAATGGAAGCATACCTATTTACAGTATCTCCCTAGATATTGAGGACAGAAACTTGATTGGTAAATTGTGCAAAGACTTTGTGTGATTTTAGAATTGAATGGACAAACTCAGCCATTGTATTCATAAATCCTAGTTTAGCATCCTGTGTGAATTAGGTCATCATGGGTTCTATAACAAAATAGAACTAAAAGAAAGCATGACATAGAATTGTAAGTGAACCAAGCCAGTGTGGCAACTTCAGTTCAGTCCAAATCTCTCAAGAGAAATTCACGATTGTAGGTTGAATTAAAATGGGGACAGAGTTGAAGGAGGGAAGAACCAGAACACAGACTTTTGTCCCAAAGCTGATGAATATATATTTAAGGGCACAAGAAAAGCTGGGATTATCTATGTTGTCTTAATATAATATAATACAAGGAACCCTTATAGGACCTCTGCCCAGAAACAAAAGTTCAATCCTGACAGTCTTCCATCTTTTCAACATTGGTAAAATGAGGGCCCAAATTGTTGGGGGCAATACACTGACATTGTAAACCACCTAGAGAGTGCTATAAAGCACTATGCGGCATTATATAAGTCTAAGTGATATTAATATTGACTTTCTTAAAACACTACAGTTTTGAGACATGTATATTTATAAATGCAAAGTGTCCTTGTGACAAAAAAAACATTAATATTGTGCAAACCAGGACTAAGTCCAGCTTTTTGTTTCCATATAACACAGTGGCAAATAGACCATCTGCTCCATAATTTTATGAAAGTACTTACTATACTACTTACAAACTTCTCATAATCTATTTGATATAAACTATAGCCAAAATCCATTAATAGTTGAGTTTTTATTATTACAGAAGTTAAAAACAATTGCTGCTTTTTAAAATTTTAGTTTATAAACTTGTGAGATTCTGAGGATTCAACATCGTTTTCCATATTTTAGAATTTAGCACTAGGTCAAGCATATGCAGGAATATACCAAATACCAGCAGCTTTTACCCTGAATAAACAACTCCTAATTGACAAAGAAAAGAGAAGATATACTTGAAATACAAAGCTCATGAAATTCCTTCAGCATTCAGATTCCAGAACTCTCTACTCTTATCTAATTCAATCCTGCCTTATATCTCTGAATCACAGCTGAATCACAGGGACTTGCCCCCTAAATCCATTTCTGTGAGGAAGATGGAAAAGGGCATGTTACAGGAATACCTCCTGACTGACTTGAAGGTGCCTCAAGGCTATGAACTTCGCTTGATACCCATAACCCGGTTTGGGATGGGGGACATGGCTACTCGCATCATCCACTATATCGAACGTGAGTGTCTCTTTCTCTCCCTTACTTGACAGTTTTTGAACCCCCAATCACAGGTATTAACTGAAGGAACTGTATTTCTTTTGACAAAGTCTTAATAGACCTGCATTATTCAGAGAAATTTTTTCCCACTGATCTTTCCCATATATATTGAACAACAAATCTCAAAATTTCCTGGTGGGAAATTGTAATAGTTATATCTCAACATCTCCAGAGATCAAGATGTTTTTTTAAAATATCATATACAATATGTGCTACCCAGACTATCTTCCAAGTAAACTGGTCTCAGTGTTTGACCAGTCTCAGTGTTTGACCATCGCCAAAACAGTAGTTAATGTAAACGTGTCATCAGTTTGCTCCCAACTATTAGGTTACGTGGTGATTTGTATCCATGAATCATTTTTCAGTGGGAAATAAACAGTACATAGTTCAATGGCCAAATAGCATCTTTGGTAAGTGTATTCAATTTAGAAAGATACAATCAATCAAATCTTTATTATGATCCTAGCCATTGAAAGGTACAAGGTCCAGGAGAATTTGTGAGCTTTGACTTTAGTTTTTAATGAATATCAAACCTTTTTCTATCACATATTTTACTGATTTGTTAGTATGGAATATAAAGTTGGACATCGTTTTATGCAAACATACTATATAGTATTTTAATGAGAAAACAAGGGGCATCAAATTCTTTAAACATGGAGCTTTCTCCTACAAGATTTAATCTTCTTCCAAACATCTTTTCATATAAAATTTAGTCTAATGATATGACAGAAGGTATAACTTTTCCCAAATATTGGCTGCCATTCTTTCAAGTTATCTTAATTCCCACCCAGTTCCATGAAAGAATGGGATTCTTTGATGTTTTCAATTCTGTGTAAACCACACAGAGTTGCTTGATGAGTAGAAAGATGGATGAAGAATAAATAAATATAATACATTTCTTATTTCTCAAAAAGAACACAATTTCTTGTGGCCAGTCCCTGTTGGTGCAATTTTCAAGGTTTAAATTATAAATTATCTGCATTCAATCTCAACTTTGAATCTGCCCAGGAACAAAAGGATACAGGTATTTAATCAGATCAAATCCAGGTACTTGTTTTTTTCTCTTACTTCTTTAAATGTATTAATATAAAAGTATTTTTATAAATCTATTTCTATTTGCTTTCTCAGCAATCAGCTACCCTAACCCAGTAGGTAAGTGATTATTTCACAATGCTTTCTTTATCTTTTTATGTATCCTGCTTCTTAGAATTAAACTGAAATCTTAATAGTGAAAAACATACTTTGAAACTAAAATTTATTGAAAATCCTTGCTTACCACATGTAGTAAAACAAATTTAAAACACCTAGAATAATTTTCACTTACACCAAGCCACTATTTGTTTTCTGGATCAATGCCACTTTTATATGTTTTACATTTCTAAAGAATTTTATTCAAATAGGAATTCTCTTAAATGTATCTAATAAATGAAGTGTTTACCACCAAAGAATCAGCTGAGCCAAAGAATACAGCCAGACATAAAGGAAGATGCTATATTCATATAGTATGATGTATGATGCAGTGCCTAAGCTTAGAGGTAGGATTATTGTTTTTAAACAAAAAGTAACAGGAAAGTAATGAAGAACCAGAAAAGACAATTCGATGTTGGGTGCTACTTTATTGCTCAAGTATATTTCACAGCAATCTTCTCAGACTGGCAGTTTGCCCTCAGAAGGACTAAGGTTCAACAGCATTGAGGAGAGTCAGACCTTGCCTTCTTGTGTCTACATAACAATTCCAGACTGATCCCCCACTTGATTCCTCCTCCTGAGTGTGACAGTCTCTCTCCGACAACTTGATAATAAGAAACTGACCATTAGATGGCAGTAAAGAGTCAGTTTTCTTGCCATCTAATGTAGTGGTTGCCAACTGGTAGGCCACGGACCACTGGTCCGCAAGAAAATTTTGGTGGTCTGCAGAGAAATGTCTTCCCCCAAAGCACCTCCCCCAAAGCAATTAATCCAGGCTGCATGGGAACACAAGGCTGCGCCGCCCACATGGCCTGCCTACCCACTGGCCCCCACCCTTCAGCCGAGTGCAAACCTTACCTTGAGTAGAGCCATGCAAGCTAGAACTGGAAGGTAAGACCAACAGCAGGGGAGGGAAATCCACCATGGGGTGGCTTGCTGATGTTAGTGGGAAAGTCGGTCCCATATTCCAGAGCTGCAGTAGTCACAGGACTGGCCTGTGCACCAGCCTGCTATCGATGAGCTGCTCCGGGATGACCAAAGGGCTAGTCTTATGACTACTGCAGCTCTGGAATATGGGACTGGCCCGTGGTGGGGTTGGAAATCTCCGCCGTAGGGGGCGGCATGTGTAATGTGCAAATTTGTGGGTGGGGCAACATGCAAAAAGCAGTGCAGCCCTCACTGGCCAGGACGAGGTAATGGTGCTGTTGCAGCAAGAGGGGGGCGATGGCATAGGTGGGCCGAAGCAGCAATAGAGATGGCTGGAAGGTGTGGGAGCACTGCGCTCCTCACCATTCTGCCTTCACTCAATGAGCCTGGCCGAAGTTTCCCGCACTGCTCACGCTTCAGCCCTTTGACTCCCAGGGACAGGAGTTCGGCCAAGCTACCTGCAAAATCGTCTCTCTCTCAAGAAGCGCTTGCGAATAGAAGCAGCCAGAGTCACTCTCGTCTCTCAGGAGCCTGGCTGAAGTTTCCCACGTAGTTTCACCAACGTCAGCATGCCACCATCAGTCAAAATTCATATTAGTGGTCCGCAGGATTTAAAATTATAAGTTTGGTGGTCCCTGAGGCCCAAAAAGTTGGTGACCCCTGATCTAATGGTTGTTGAGACTGTTACAGTCCAGATTATGGTAGCTTTAACTTTTCTGAGGTTACACTCTTCATCCATCAAGCCCCATTGTTGTCTAATGATATTGGCAACACATCTCCAGAATTACATCACCTGCTGCCGAATCCTTTTAACTAGAGATCTACAAACAAATCATCTATTTGTACCCACTCTATTTGTTGTGCCAGTGAATACAAAAGTAGTTAATCTAAGAGGAGGATGCCATGCAGAATTATCTGAACTTGTTCCAAGACTCTGACTCACAACACACAGATGTGCAGCCTTTAATATGTTTAGAAGACTGGTTATCTAATAATAACCTGAGACAAGCTTGGCAGGGGATTCAGCAGTTAACTAATTTTAAAGCACAAAAGGCTAGTATGGGTGGAAAACATGAGTTGGTAGAGGAACTAAACACCTTTTATGCCCGGTTTGAGATGAATCAACTGGAAGTGGAGTTACCATCACCACTACCATTGTTGACCGAGCACTGTGCTCCTCTTGTTGTGAAGGAGCATGATGTTAGGTGTATAATGAAAGCAGTAAACTCTAAAAAAGCTGCAGGACCTGATAACATTCCTGGTTATGTAGTAAAAGAATGTGCGGATCAGTTAGCCGGGGTGTGGACTGAGATTTTCAATCATTCTTTGCTACAGTCTATTGTTCCAACTTGTCTGAAGGCTTCTATTATTGTTCCAGTACCCAAGAAGTGACCTGCAAATGCTTTAAATGACTATAGGCCGGTGGCATTGACTTCTGTGATAATGAAGTGCTTCGAGCAGTTAGTTGGAAATACATTATTTCTTGCCTTCCTGCTACCTTTGACAATTATCAGTTTGCTTATAGAACAAACAGATCTACTGAGGATGCTGTCAATACTGTTCTTCATACTGCCCTATCTCATTTGGAGAAAAAAAGAACGTATGTCAGAATATTATTTGTTGATTTTAGCTCTGCTTTCAACACAATATTACCCCACAGATTGATGTCTAAGCTTAAAGATCTGAAGCTACCGGACTCTATATGTTGGTGGATTCTGAATTTTTTATCACATCGTTCACAAAGGGTTAGGATGAATGAACATATCTCTTCTGCGAAGATTCTCAATACTGGCACTCCTCAGGGCTGTGTATTGAGTCCACTTTTATTCACTATTTATACGTCTGATTGCACCTCTATTCATCTGAGTAATAAGATCATTAAGTTTGCAGATGATACAACGTTGGTGGGGCTAATTTCTGATAATGATGAGTCTGCGTATAGGGATGAGGTTCATCAGTTGTCCCTCTGGTGCAAAGTAAACAATCTTATTTTTAATATAAATAAGACGAAGGAATTCATAGTGGATTACAGGAAGAGCAGTTCGGATATCCAGCCGTTGTACATCGATGGTGTTTTGGTAGAACAGGTGGCAGAATGTAAGTTTCTAGGTATCACCCTGAAACAAGATCTAACATGGGGGGCAAATACTTTAGCCCTAGAAAAAAAGGCTCATCAACGACTGTATTTTTTAAGACTTTTACGATCACAACAACTACCAGAGAGTCTGTTGGTTGCCTTCTATCGAAGCTCTATAGAGAGCATTTTATCCTATTGCCTCTGTGTGTGGTTCAGGAGTTGTACAGAGGCGGAGAAAAGGGCACTCCAAAGAGTGATAAAAAGGGCACAAAAGATCAGCGGATGTTCTCTTCCCTCATTGGAGGATTTGTATAACATGGGATGTAGAAGGAAGATACAAAAGATCTTGAGAGACCCTTCACATCCAGGCCACTCGTTGTTTGAGATCCTACCATCTGGAAGACGATATAGAGTGCTGAAAGCTAGGACAAGTAGATTTAAACATAGCTTTTACCCAAGTGCTGTGATCAGGTTAAATGCAGAGTTATGAATCTGGTGGTCTTAACATATATATATCCTGGTTGTATAGTTTTTAACTGTTAATTGTTTTAATTTGTTTTACATTGTTATTTGTATATGTCTTTTGGTGTTGTTCAGTTGTATGTTGTGAAAGAGCACCTTATTTCGTTGTTCTCAGGTTCTGAGTACAATGACAATAAATTTATCTTAAATCTTAAATCTTAAATTTAATATATTTATCTGGAATTAAATGTACAGCTACATAAAGATCAGTAGGAACAGAAGAGTCACAATACTGTATTCTAGTCAGGCTTAGGTTCTTCAATGAGTCAGGTTCTTGTTTCAGTTGTATGGTTCACTTCACATCTGAAATTGAATTACAGAAAGAAAAGAAAGTTGATGTTGGTGGTATTGCTGTTGTTGTATATATGTAGTTATTTACAGATCTACTTATCATCTAGGAAATCCAACATTTGCTCTGGTACTTAATGCTAGAATCTCACTCTATTCACAATATAAGTATTGATTTGCCTTGAACTATAAGCTCTCATTATCTTCAAAATGCCATGTCCCCAAAGTTTTGACAGAGTGACTCTAAAGGAAAATGATTATTTGGGACAGTTCAGGAAGCTGTGGAGTTTGTCTGTAGAACTGTGCTCTCCAAATAATATTAACTCTTTATTATTTAGACAAATAGACACTAGGCTAGAAAAATAATGGGGAATATAGAATAGTCCATTATAGAGTGTTGACTTTGAATAATATTTTACATATAAAAAGTATGTTTGTATATGAATAATTTAGAAAAACAATACATACTTCTGTTTTGCTGAGGATTCCTTAGTCTTTTAAAAAGTTATAAAATACTTCTTAATATGATATCTATATCTATCATCTATCTATTTCTATCTGTCTATCTATCTATCTATCTATCTATCTATCTATCTATCTATCTATCTATC